GCAAAGTCAAGAAAACAAGCGTGATGGAGCATGTTGTCTAATAAAGCACGTGCATCTCTGAACCACATAGTCTGGCCTCTCCAAAACAAAGATGTGTCTGTTCTTTACTGCTTAAAATAATTTTCTTAACTGAGATGTACTTCCCTTGTCAACAGGCGTTAAAGCTGCATTACATGACGTGCCATGTTGACCTCTCCAAATGGGAGCAAGGTAATACTTAATAAATAGTGAACCTCAAAACACAGACATCATATTTAGTGTCAGTGCCAAACACATGAACAAACTGGTTAGTGACTTGTTCAACCAAAGGAAGAGGATTAAATGCTGGTGAGTCCCACGTCCTGTCGCCACCATCAAAATTATATTCAAGCAAATAGCACGAACTGAAACCCAATCGAACTTGGATTTGTGTGGCTAACAATATTAATATTTTCGAGTTGTAAATATCCATTTAAAGGAAAGGTTTGACGCTGTGGGAAAGACACCTAAAGATAAGGCTACATCCAGGCAGCAGCCACCTAGCTTGTCATAAAGACTGGACACGGGGGGAAACAGTTAGCTTCGTTCTGTCCAACTGTAATAAACTCTGCCAGCTAGCACCTCCAAAGTTCACTGCTCTACAGGCTACACTTTGTTTAAATCAACTCAAAAACTTAAATGTACAAACAAGCTGCAGTTTTCCCGGAGGCTATGTGCTACGTAAACAATCATTCCAAGTCCAGAAAGAAAGGAAGGTAACAAGGAACAGCATAAGAGAAACAAAGCAGGACCAGAGGGAAAAGTAAAAAAGACAGCGGGAATAGAGGAGAGCAGAGGAGATGAGAGCTGAACGCCTTGACAGGGCCAAAGCAGGCCACAGACGGACCAGTGCTAAAGGGCCCAGGACAAGTGTTGCCATGTCCCCCTGAAACCACAGAGGCCGCTGGGTAATGAATAAATAAACACCCCTCCAACCATCTAGCCTCTTCCTCTTCCTGCTCTCCATGTTTGGCAGCCAACACACACATGCATATGCATACACACAGAGAAACTGGCACATGCACATAAACAATACACTCGAATGCATACATGCATGATTGCCATCGGCCTGACAGTCCAAATACAGACTCTCAAACACGCAGAGTCTCTGTGATTGTGCATGTGCCTGTGCCAGCGGTGCTCTCCACATCCAGCTGACTGTGTGCCAAATTACGTTCCCTGCTTTGCCTATTTCATACTGTTCCTCTGTAGGCATTTTTTATTTGCCTGTCCATATTTATACAAGGCTGTGTGGAGACTCCTGGCTGGCTGAGCCAAAAACAGGCAGTCTCAGTACATTCCCACACTCATGCCATGTATAGCCCAACTGAAAAATCAGCCACACGCCAACGTAAAGGCATGCGGCAACGCCATGTCAAAGCTTAAGAAAACAAAAGAGATGGTGTCTCGGCTCCACGTTGCCTGGCCTGACAGTCAGGGAAAATATTTTCAATTATTCAGCTTGGCAGATTGAGAAGCCCAAGACAGAGCAAGGCCCTTTTAACATATAACTTGTTGTGACAATGTTAATGACCCTCACCACCACCTTATAAAATATAGAGATTTTGTTTTGCTTCCAAGAGGATTAATTTGTCATTACCACATTGATGCTTCAACAAAGGCTGAGATCTGTTCTGTGTAAATGGCAAGAGTAGAATGAGAACAGAGAGGCTGAGGACAGTTTGTGAGCGAGGGACAGGAGCAGGAGACATGTAGATTTGATTTCATGAACCAGGAAAGAAGGCAGGGCGCACAAGAAGACAACTACACATTTAGCCTGGATTGGAATGGATTTGTAAGCGTTATACCAATATTTGCATCAGTTACTTCTGACCTTTTTGTCTTTTTCACACCATATAAAAAGACTGTTTTTATATAATGAGATACTAAAGTTCTCCAATAAAAATAAACTAAATGAATGGTGACTCTTCACCAGGCTCCCTTACAGGTTTTACAAAGTTTGAGTAGCGAAGCTTCTGAGTAAAATCATATCCTCTTCTCCATCTTTATGACACCAGTAAGAGGACGTTTATCAATCAGTGTAAACACTGTTGGTGCTAGGGTGCAACATTAAGGGGTTTTCACAAATATTCACAAAATAAGGCTGTGAATGTATTAAGGTATTTGACTCAAAATCATCCTGAGCTAAACTTTAGCCCGTATCCACTGAGATGTCCAATCTTTCATGTAAATTAAACCATAAATCACCCTGCTGATGTATTGTGGTCTATGACCTGGTACTGTGTTCTGACGAATCAGAAAACCACTAAAACAACAGATTTAGCTTAGATTTTAAAATAATTCCCTAAAAAGATAAACATCCCTAAAAATCACACCTGACTCCCAAAAGTTAACATCTTTCCCTCGTACAGGCAAACACCTTCCATGCCCCCTCTCCATAATACAGAAAATTACAAGGCAACCTTGACCCATTTGCCCATTGTAAATCAATCCACAGCCTCCTCTAGCTTCTGGTGTGTCGTCAGCTTGCACCCACAACCGCTATTACACTACATGAGTGCCTGGGCGAGTCCACTGTATGTACTACAATATGTTTTGCAATGCAAGTGAGCTCCTGTTGCAGCTGGGGTATAATTCTGCACTGACACTTTAGAAGTTGGTCACCAGGTGACGTTAAAGCATGGGCCAATGCTGTATATACATAGCAGCAAACCATACCTAGATTTATTAAAAAGTTGAAATGTACTCAATATCACACAAGAGAACTGTGTGAGAGAAACCATTTGCTCCTGAGTTTTGATTTGCAACACAGCTACCGTGTCTGTGTTATAACTGAAGAGGATTTAAGACACTGTATGTATGTGGGAGCATGGCGGCTGAAAACGCTTCCAGGAAATATGATCTTGGTTCTTTCACCTCAGCTATTTGTTCCTACAGTTCTGGGATAGTCAGCAAAATAGAAAACAACAACTTCCAGGACATGAAGTAGAGGAGAAGAGCACGAAAATAGGAGTGTAATGAGAGGCCCGTTTTATGATTTAGCCTGATAGGACTGGTGCACCTTAACAACAAGATACTGTAGCTGCAAGCAGCTTTAATTGAATTTGGCAATTAATTCATATGGTGGTCGTTAAGACTTGTGTACCAGCTACGTTCATTCTCAAACATAAAGAGCTAACAGACACAAAGAAAAGCATTTACATACTCATGTATACAAAACTGAAATGCTGACCAGGATGCAAAAGACAAAACACTTAACAGGAAAAAGACACTTTGTTGCTGCCTTGATGCTCTTTGAAAGGTTTATTCATCAACATTTGACCTCCGCTGGCCGCCATTAGGTCTGCCACAGCATCAGCAGATAATGTTCAACATGCAATCATCAACAGCTTCATCAATATACGAATGGCTGTCATAGTAATTACTGTGTGTGTAGAGTAAACAAAGCAGAGGGTCAAATTTCCAAAAGAGAGACATGAGTCATGAATTAAATGTTTGATTCATTTTAACCTTCGGTGACTATGGAAGACTCGTGAGTGCATGTGTGCATCTGTCTGTATTCTGTGTATCCATATGTCTCTCTCTCTGTCCTGCACTTAATATGGATGCAAATGAGAATCTGACTGTTTATATGGATGCATACAGACACAGAAAAGTGTACGAGTGTGTGTCTGCGTGTTATCAACGTTTGTTCTCTGTTCTCTCCATGCTGCTCTGCTACCACAGTGCCCCTGGGACCCATCTGCCTCCCTGTTATTAATTCATCAGGCTTAACCATGCAGCGCTTTATGACTCTGTTTGGACTGACGAACTATCACACACCCTCTCACTATCTCTCAGGAACATGGTATTGAAAAACAATATCTGTCACTGGATGCTGAACCTACACTTGCAGTTTGATATGTCTATTTTATTGTCTGTTATATGTCTTGCTCCTTGGCCTCTCTATGCAGTCCTGTGTCTATATGAACAGTTAATATATTGTGTATAAGAAGAGCATGTGCTCTGTCTCTGCATCGCTGCCACCAAGGCAAATTTGTGCACATTCATTGCTCTCGGTCAGTTCCTGAACCAGTTTAGTGTCCATTTTACAGTGTCAGATCGTATCTTAAAGCTGCCTTGAACTTCTGCAAGTCTGCTCAAATTCATTAAATCATTCAAAATGATTACACTGAATAAAAACCAACAAAATAGAACATCTTATTACACTTTAGATGCTTTAAGGGCCAAGAATAATTTCTCAGAAGGCCACAAGCCTCCTTTTGGCGGCCCTGAACTCCAACATTTAATTTACTTTACTCCAACTTTGTCTGTGTAGCCAATTCCTATCACAGAAGCCATTCTGGCCGAAAACACAGCGGACTGTGACCATGTTCAAAATAAACCCTTTTAATGGAAGAAATACAAACTTTGCTCTGAAAGATAATCTAAGAATCAATCAATGCCCTTCACGTGAATGCGTCTTGATTGCCATGTCTAAACCTATTCCCATCAAAGACAGAGAGAAGAGATCTGAGATTGCAGCACATCAAAAGACTTTATCTTGCTAGTATTATGTGGCTGTAAATAGCTGCAGCAAAGAAATGCAACGCAGTCTGAGCACTGAGAAAGCAGAAGCAGAGCGGGAGAAAGTAAAGAAAGAAAATAAGTCGACTCCAGCAGCTCAAAACCAGACAATTCATTCCTCGAAAGATACAAGAAAAAAAAAAAAAAGTAAAATCAACAAGCAATATAAAAGCATTATTTTTTATACACCTACAAACTGTATCAGCTTTGCATCTGTGCAGCTAAACACTACTGGTTTCTTAAAGAGTAATAGGTTGTGACCAGTATCACTTTCTTCTCTTCCTCCATTGCTAATTGTGTGTTCTGTCTATTCCACTGAACTATAATGACTCATTTTATTTTGTAGACGATATAACTTAAAGGTCTGACACTATGATTATTGACCTATTTTGAAAAAAACTAAAGATTTCAATAAAGATGAGGTATCTTTATTTTATGGGAAAAAAGTGACATACTTGGTGTGGATGACATTCCCCTCTGCTCCGTCCCTCCAGGGACAGCACTAAAGGTGAGGACATCCAGTGGGATTTCTCGGGCAGCTTACTACTGGGGTTATACTGCCCCCTAGTGGACATATTGTGAACACAATTCTCTGCAATGGAGAGAGAAAGGTCATTAGCTTCATGATGCACAAGTTTGGAGCATGTCTTGCTCAAAGGCACATTAACATTAAAGTGCCAGTCAATAGAGCAGATTGAGTGATGACAGAGAAGCTAAAACATAAATGTCACATGTCCAGTCAACCGGAATTATCCTGCTTATTTATAGCACGTGCTTTATAGTGTTCACATTTCTGCATTTATCAGCTCAGGTTAAGGGTGACAATGCTGAATGTTCAGACAAACACAGTGAAGGGTTTCTGGTGACACTGGATGTCCCTAATGCATCAGGAAATTACAAAAACAAGTCAGGGATTCACAAATGTTTAAACAAAAACTGTTTCTGCAACCCACTAGCACACACACATAAATAGACTTCACTCAAAAATACCCGTGATACTTTAGGTAATTCTCATATATATATGTGTTGACACAACTCTTGTTTGATTCTTGGAGCGCAAATATATTTCCCACCTTAGAGCCTTTACAGAACAAAATGACTGACAATGTTTGAAAATGGCCCCGACAATGCGATTACAGATATGACAGTATGCCAGTTGTCACTTCAAGTCTGGAAAAAGGGAATGCAAGAAACAGACTGAATGAGAAAATGTTGAGAAAGACTCTCTTTGGAGCAGAGGAGTAAAAACAGTAGACTAGAGACAGTGATTTGACATGCTTTAAACAGAAGTGCATAAGTTGGAGAGGGTAAAGGATGAGAACAAGAGAGGTAATTAACTGGCTAAAATACAAGCTGCAGAGAAAAGCAAAAGAGAGACACGGGGATTTTGTTTCTAGTGACACAGTTGGACAATAAGATGAAGAGGGAAGAAGGAAGGAAGAGAAATTAGGGTAAAAGCAGGAGAAATCTCATTAGGAAGCACCATGACAGTAAAACACAATGCAGAGCCTCTCCCTGAAGTGTAAAAGTAAATCTTGATCTCTTATCTATGGGAACTCAAACAGTGTGATGCCAATTTATGTTCCCATTCAGCACCCACTACTTGTCTCTACCAGAATGCACATAGTCATTTGACAGGTGTTTTCCATGTAGACGACAGGTGACAAATTAAAGGAAAAACCTGAATAAATGAGGGGTCTCTTCCAGGAAGACAACACCCTTATCCATAGAACACAATGGGTCACTGAATGGTTTCACGAGTATGAAAAGGACAATGATAATACTCACTTACTGGCCAAGTATGTTACACAAACAAGAAATTTGTCTCCGGTTCAGAACCGAGGCAGCCACCTGCAGCGCCAACTCACACAAACTGATGGCGGCGCTGACCTGGCAATTGGGGGCAACTTGGGGTTCAGTGTCTTGCCCAAGGACACTTCAACATGTGGACTGGGGAGCACAGGAATCTAACTGTCGATTTTCCAGTTAGGAGACGACCGCCCTACCTCCTGAGCCACAGCCACCGGGATGGGAATCATATAGTCACCAGCTCTCAACCCAACTGGGCATCCTGGGAGATTTCACCAATGTGTTAGACAGTAAAGTAGCAACAGAGACACGGTACAAAGATGGAGCAGGTACTTTGGTAGCTTAAGGAAGTAGACATTTTCTCTTTCTCAAAGAAACAAACAACTTTTATCTCCTCGAGTAAACTGCTGTTATCTCTCCATTTCCTGCCCCGAGCACCTCACTTAGTGCCTTTCCCTCCAGGGAGCTTTTTCTTGGCAAACAAGGCTGTTTATTTTACTAAAACAGGGCCTCACTTTAGCTGGTTCATCTAATTAAAATGTTGCAAAAGCATGAGGAGTAGGCATTTTATTTAACAGCTAATTGTGCTGACACTAGGGACTGGGATATGTTATGCATTCACTTTCAAGGATCTTGGGGAAAGAACAATCATGTACACAAACACGTGTATACACACACACACACACACACACACACACACACACAGGAGCTCAGTTTCTCGCTCATTGGTGGGATGAATTTTAAACAGTCAGGAGTATCGAGTTAATCAGTGACAAATCTGTGGGGGAATATCAGGTTGCCTTTTAACACGGGAGGATGCATGTGTGATTAATGCAATGCTTCCCTTTGGGCTGAAGAGAATAATTGTCTTGTTTACCAACAGGTGTTTTTAATCTAGACACAGGAATTAACAATCCTTGTTTGTGAGGGCGCTGAGGGGTTGTCATGTTTAAGAAGTAATGGCTCGTCATTTTTCTGGTCAACAGCTCGTGTCATCCTGAGTGTTTCAAATCAATGAGTTGAGAAAGTGCAAGGTGCATCTTCCAAAAAAAACGCTTTCTTTGTTTGATTTTTATTGGACATCCCCATCCTTAGTGTCAATCAGGTGTTCAATGTGAAAGTACATCTTAATACAGGCCTTCTAATGATAACCAATGCAGTATTCATAACGTTCGCTGAGAGCGACGGCCTCGTTTCAGGGATGCCTAGTTCACACTCACACAGTTAGTCACACCTGGAAAAACAGCCACACACTGACCTGACGGCCACTGGTGGAGTACGGGGTTAAGGGCTTTGCTCAGCGCTGGTTATGACACTTCACTTTCACCACCCACATGCACAGTATCTGGCTAGTGTGGGGATCCAACCAGCAAGAGGGATATGCCCACTACCAAGCAAGAGGCCAGTGAAGGAGCTAGCCGACTGTAAGAAGCACATCACCTAGTGCAGAGGTGTGCACATTTAGCATTAAAGTGCTAAATAAAAATAAAATCAATAATTCCCCTGCAATATATTAAAACTAAATGTAACAAGCCTGATTTTAAAATGTAAGGAGCAGAAAGTACAGACATTTGTGTTAAAATGTTAAAAGTAAAAAATAAATTAAAAAAAAAATCATAAAATTCAATACTCAAGTAGCGTACCTGAAAAATCTACTTAAGTATAGTAATGAAGTATTTGTACTTCATTACCACCTCTGACCTTTTTCTGCACATCCATACAGCAAATACTTCTTAACATCTTCATTTTAGGTTGTGCCACCAAGGCCGTACAGTAACTGCGTCCATTTGCACGACTTTGTATGTAACTACACCACCTCTAAAATTTGCTTTGCATTCAGGATCAACACAACCAAGCAGTCCATACCCACACATCTTATTTCTGTCAATAATAAAGAGTAGGAGCAGTTTTCCCCACAATAAGGTGTAAAAACATTTGGGTTGTGGTTGGTTTGGAGAAGGATAGTGTGAATTTGGTGGAGTTACTGAAGCAGAGAGGAGGGGGCTCCTCAATGAGAGTAAAAGCCTAGCTTGTATTACCTTTTCACACGTCAGCTTGGAGATGACAGGTTGCTAAAGCAAAGGTATTTTTACATCCAATTTCAACAGTTTTGTGGCACAATTGTACAAAACTAGGGGTGAAAATGAAACTGGAGGGATGAAAAAAAGGGAAAGAGGGTCCTAAACCTGGGAATCGATTGAGGATTTTTAAAAAACATTTTCTCATCCAGTAAAGAACAATAACACACACACACACACACACACCAATACCTTCACTGAAGAGTGTCTCCCTGATATTTCTCACATAGAGTGAAAAAGAAATGTAGTAGTTGCCACCAAGGTGTTGAACTGACAAATCAAACATATGCAACTTGAACACATTCCAGGTAAATCACTTTGTAACACAAATGCTATATTTAATGCAGTTTTTAGATCTGAGAATATGGCTGAATAAACTTTAATTTGTTCACATCTACTTATTCTCTATTAAGATACATGCAGTTGCTACACTGAAATTCTTGGCTTGATCATCCCCAAATGCTGCAGACACAGTTAAAATAGATAGTAACTAGCATAGAATCACAGTATAAAAGCACTATAATCTCACATAATGTTGCACACATACATAAAATGCATATATGGAAGCATATACACATTTATGGGAAAGTGTAAAGTAATTGATGCTTATCAAGGTTATGTGCAGATGTACATAAAGCGCCTATTGCATTTGTCCATGCCTGTTGTCTGTCCTGCTTGTGGTAGGGGTGCAGGCTGGGAGTGGCAGAGGGTAGCATTTGATTTCTCTGATGGCCTGTGGAGCCATACAGTGTTTGTATACCTATGCATTGGTACTGTACCACCTGCCAGATATCACAGGTTGAAGGGTTTTGTGGGCTGGGTGACCGCTGATGACACTGCAGGCCCATCTGCAGATTCCCTGGTCTTAGATGTTCTGCAGAGAGGGCAGGTCTGCCCTTGTAATTCTCTGGGCTGCCTTTCCTACCTGCTGCAGTGCTCATTTATCCAGTGCAGCTGCTAAACCACACCGCAATGCAGCAGGTTAGTGTACTCTCTATAGCATGCCTGTAGAGGCTGCTGAGGACTGATGGTGAGACGCCAAGGTTCCAGCAAGTACACTCTCTACTGACACTTCTAAACCAGGTATGCAATATTCTTTGCCCAGCTTTGATCGTCCCCAATGTGTACACCCAGAAACGTGCAACCGGCTACCATCTCCACCTCAGTCTGTGATCAGCAGTGGTTGATGACGGTGTTTGTCTCTGCTCATGTCCACAGCCATCTCCTTGGTCTTCAGAGTGAGACAGCATCATTCCATGTGACCAGGTTTGACACTTCCTCCCTGTAGCCGCTTCATGATCACCAGCTAATGCCAGCTAACAGCTGTCTGCAGAGATGGTGCTGATGTCTTTTCAACACAAACGCTGCAGATGACTCAGTCAGCAGACATTCTTCTGGATATCTGTACTTACAACAAACATATGCTGCTGACAGTCCATGTGTAGCTGTATGAGACAGCATTCGATTTTTACAATATACACAACAATAACACTTTGTATGGATAAATTCTGAGACAGGTATTCATCTGATGTAACTGAATCATCAAGAATCCAACCAAACTGAAATTAAATCAATTCTGGACTTCATGAATCAAAACTGAACTGATTTGGAAGATTTGTGCCAATACACAGCCCTATTTTATGAGAGCATAAATCGAGTGTGGATTATTTTTCATATCCGACACTGAGGCGGTGATTTACATTTA